TTTGTCTTAAGAGGTTTGTTCCTTACACAATCGTCTGATCCCTTTTTAATTGTTAGCGACTACCCGCGCGAAAGAGTGGGAAATATACCAAACCAAATCAAGTCGGAGATCTTATTGGAAATAGGAAGATAAAGGTTCTAGGACAGCCTTCCGAATGAAAATAAAAACAAGACATGCATGAAATCAATCCTACTTAGGAAACTGATGCAAGACTCAGCACTTGCCTTCAGACTTAGGCTTTCAGATCTCGTTGGTTTTTGAAGTACACTGCAATTCCGTAGGTTAATGATCCACTTCAAAACCAACAAATCTGTACCATATGTTTAATGCCAAGTGCAATATAGCAAAACAAATTCAAAGTTGACAAACAAAGGCCTCAAATTAATAAGAGTATACTCGTTTAGCAAAATAGATATCATTTTCTTTTAAAGTCAGCTGAAATTATAGCTCAGATCTTCAGTAGTTAATGGCATAAAAAAGCACTTAGCCTTGGGGGGAAAAAGAAAGAAAGAATGAATACCTTGATTACTGTATAACAAAACAAGAACATGAAAATGGTGAATTCGAAACTTTAAACTTGAACATTCAAAAAGAATATAATAATACCAAATCATAGAATAAGAAGAAAATGATTAGATCCTTGAGCAAAATTGTCCTCAAGCTTTTCTTTATTGATCTCAACACACACAGACCAACAGGAGAGTAATCAAATTTTTATAATAAATATCAGGAGAGGGAAAAAAAAAAAAAAAAGAATAAACCAGATCTTTACTTTCACTCTTTCTTATTCTATTCCCTACTTGTGCCTCTCAAAAACTTGAATTCAGCAAAGAAGAGAACCCATTTAGCCTAAAAGAAGCTGCATGACAAATCATAACAAAGAAAAAATATTGGAAATAACAATCACAATGCAAATTCAAGAATTCAAATCACAAAACAAAATTAATTAATTGTAAATATTCAAGAAAATGCATAAAATAAGTAATTACCATCACATTTGACGTGTAGAATGGAATGTAAGAGCAAAGAGAGGAGAAGTAAACGTATTACAGACTCCATTGCTGGTTGTCTGAGAAAATGTACTGAGAGTTCAACTTGAAGCTTCTGCATACAAGACTCTCGTCGCTATAATAGAAACTTTCGGGGACGTGGAAATATGAACTGATACGGTGACGTTTTGTTGAAGTATCAATTGAACTGATACGGTGTCGTCTAGTTGAAGTTTCAATTTCTGCTTTACCTTGGAGAATGACCCTTGAACTTTACTCAAATTCGTTAATAAATTGGATTGCAACTTACAAAATAATGAAATATTATTGTTAGGCTTAATATGGACTTTAACTGTGGTAAATTTTTATTGTTGCTCGCCTTCTTTCTTTTCCTATAATTATCTATCCATTACATAATAATCTTTTATCTCATTTATACGAATAATGGGTAAATTTCATTTAAATTATTAAATTTTAATTTATCTCAATTAGATCACTTAGCTTCAATATGGGGCCATTTGAGCACCATTATTTGTAAATTATAATGAGATGAATA